AAATATAGGTTTGAAACCTGCTCAAATTATTTTTTCTTGTCGGAAGTGCTGTCCTCTATCAACAACTTATGGTAATTTACCATAATGTACAGGGTCTGTTCCTCATAATGAGTACGGCTTCTACAACCTAAACAAAAGAAAATACAAAAAAAAAGTTCTATACAAAAGTTGTAGGGTTTCATGTCTGTTATGTTTTGCACATGTCAAAATAGGCTAATGACAAGTGCCAACTGTCATAATGACAGCATTTGCATTTTTTTAAATAGAACACCCTGTATATTTCTGGCTAGAGTGATAGATTTTTTTCTTCTGATTCCAAATATACTATGATATTTGGTTTAGCTCTTTTTGCGCTATTTCATTTTAAAATTGCATTGAGCAAGCCTTATTAATCATCATTGATATTAGAAACCGGGAACAGCCCTAATTTGGGGTAATGTATTTGCATTTTTTAACTTGAATAGCGTACAGCTGAACCAAATATCAACATAAGTATATCGTATATTTGAAATCAGAAGAAAAAAGTCTATCATCCTAGCTAATGATATAGAGGGTGCTCCATTTAAAAAAATGCAAGTGCTGTCAATATGATAGTTGGCACCTGTCATTTGCCCACTTTGACATGTACGAAAGATAATAGAGATAAAACCCTACAACTTTTGTATTTAACTTTTTTTGGTATTTTCTTTTGTTTAGGAACAGACCCTGTACAGGGTGGGCCAATTTGGACACTTCCTTATGGAAACACCCTTTATTTTTAGAGATAGAAAAAAATTAACCCCCCACTCTGAGGCTCAAATTTCATGAAATTTTGATTGGTGCAAACCGCTTTTTGATATCTTCAACCGTTTAGACGCTAGAGGGCGATTCTCGATTTTGAGCAATATTGTGAATCCTTCATAACTTTTTTGTTTATGAAAATAATTGATTTCCGTTAAAACTTTCTAGAAGCACTTTTTCAAGCAGAATTCAGTGATGTTCTTAGTTTTTTTCTATCTGGCGCCGATTTTGAGATATTGACCAAAGTCTGATTTTTTTTATGGGACACCCTTTATATTAATAGATCATTGCAAAGCTATGATTTTTCTGATTTTAATGATATAAAGTTCGATAGGTTTATCTTTAACCATTTTCGAGAAAAAAAAATATTTTGGTTTTTGTCATAAGACTTAACCTCTGTAAGGAAACTGAGAAAGGTCTCTTTCTAACACATTGTTTCTTATGACAAAAACCGAAATAATTTTTTTTCTCGAAAACTGTTACAGATAAACCTATCGAACTTTATATCATTAAAATCAGCGAAAGCATAGCTTTCTAATGAAGTATTAATATATAGGGTGTCCTATTAAAAAAAATCGTATTTTGGTCAATATCTCGAAATCGAAGCCAGACTGAAAAAAACTGAGAATGTCACTGAATTCTGCTTGAAAAAGTGCTTCTGAAAGATCTTTACGGAAATGAATTATTTTTATAAACAAAAAAGTTATGGAGGCTTTACAGAATTGCCCAAAATCGAGAATCGCCCTCTAGCGGCTAAACGGTTGAAGATATCAAAATGCGGTTTGCACCAATCAAGATTTTATGAAATTTAAGTCTCAGAGTGGGGGGTCCATTTTTTTCTATCTCTAAAAATAAAGGTTGTTTTCTTAAGAAAGTGTCCAATTTGGCCCACCCTGTACATACAGGAACCTGTATTTTTTTTTTTTTTTTAATTGATAGTTTGGAATTGAAATTAAACCAATAGAAACCTGTTACGTTATGACAATATCCTTGCGACATGACGTCGTTTTCATTATTGACGTAGGTTTTTTTTAATTATTTTCATTATTAACCTAGGGAGAGAAATTCAATTTTTTCCCAGAAAAACTGATTGAATAATGACTACTTCTCAGGTTAGTAGTGAAAAAAAAATATATATAGGCTCATCTCAGAAGCTACAAGGACATGGCGGACTATTGTAATGACCAGTGTTGCCAATGACCCGATAATTATCGAATTCTACCATAATTTTGACTACGATTCAATAATCGATAATGACGAGCTAATCTACCATAATTTATTGAAAATAAAATTTTAATACAAATTTTTCAAATTTTTATATAAAAATTAAAAATTAAAAAAAAAAAATTGAAGGTTGTTGTTGGCTTTGAGTGTTTTGATGTACTGGGGCGAGCACCAAACACTAGTCCCAGAGTCCCAGCTAGAACCAGAAAAATAAAAATGGAGATAAAAAGTCAAAAAAGTTGACAAAAACTTTTTCTGATAATTTTTCTTAAAATCTGATAATTTTGTTCTCAAATCCTGATAATTTTAAATTTGACATCTGGCAACACTGGTAATGACTATTTCACTAACGTTGGTTTGAAAATGCTCAGTAATATTACACCCCCAGGAACAGCATCAAAAATTAACTTCAGCTTAAATTCATCTATATTTTTAGAACCGGTGAGTAAGAATGAAATAATAGAGCTGGTCCAGATGGTATACTTAAGTACCAAAACATTATAACTGGCTCATCTCCATCTGATAAAACCCTTAATACATATCATAAATTTGATATTCGGTACAGGCAAGGTCCCTGGTAAGTTTAAGGGCCGATACTTTTGCTCTCGATTTACGAATTTGATACGTTGTCAAGTTTTGCATGGGTCAAGGTCTAAGTATGATGTGATTAGAGCACATTCTAAGCCCGGATTATTTTTAACGGCTGTCAAATGACAGCAAAAGTACCTGCACTAATGCCTGTATCCACCAATAAGCACCCTAACCATTGGTTACGTAACTGTAAGTTAATACTAACTGGTAGTTTACTTTAATATCGTATCCGCCATCATTTTTTGTTATGTAAAGTCTGTTTTTTTTTTAAAGATAAAAGTCAAAATGACATTATGTTGGCAATACAATGTAAAATTGTCAATGCTTTCAAATTTTTATGTAGAAAAGGCTTGTGTTGCCAACATAGTTACTATTTGACTTGGGGAATTATGTTAAAAAAAAAACAGGCATTAGTTAGGAAAGTTACAGGTATTTTCTCGCACATTCTGGCAACCCAGCCAGAACTGTCAATAATGACATATTTTTTATTTCTCGTTTGTGGTGGTCGTGTTAATTTGTGGACGTGGTTGAAAAAGAAAAAGTTCAACAATCTGAAAAATCTATACAGGGTGTCCACTTAGTGCGATATCGGACGATATCTCCCTTCATGGATGCAAGAATTTTTTTTTTTATTACAAACTTGTTTGATACTCTAGTATGCATTAGTTGAAAATATTTTTGAATATACAGGGTGCTTCGTTTATGGAGTATGCGACAGAACTTTGTTATTTTAAATGGAACACCCTATATATGATTGCATATTTGGATTGTACGCACCGGAGATTAAATTTAACTGGAATTTTTAATCATGGATTAAATTCAAAGTTGGTGTCAAATGATAGTTTATAAAAATCCAAGATGGGAAAGTAAAATCGGTTTTCGTCTAAAATCAACTGTTTAGGTTTTACAGCCTGTCAAAGTTGCAAAAAGTCCATTTTCAACTGTCAATATTTCCAAAACAGTTGAACTTAGGTATAAAGTATATTACATCAAATCTGCTCAGAATTTTACGTAGAATCCAAATATGCAATCACATACAGGGAGTGTCATTTGAAATAACTAAGTTCTGTCGCATACCCCATAAACGGAGCACCCTGTATATTCAAAAATATTTTTAACCAATGTATTTTTGACATTGGTGGATACGGGCATAAAGTCCTCGATTATTAGAGTAAAAATCAAACGAGAAGAAGCCGCTGACAAAGAAGGCAGATTTCCTTTTCTCCGGGTCCCTCCTATTTGAAGTGAGACAAACGATAACGCGTGTGACTTCTTCTCCTTTGATTTTTACTCTACCCTAATATATAAAACTGGTGATAAATCGAATATTTCCAATTTTCGGCCAATAAGTGTTATAAATAATTTTTCAAAAATCTTCGAAAAGTGTCCTAAAAACTGATTGGTAGGCTTCTTTCAATCTAATGATATTTTTTCGAAGTCAGTTTGGCTTTAGAAACGGGCTTGGTACTGAACATGCCATATATGAATTAACAACCCAGACAACAGTCCTCGATAAGAACAGGAAATGTCTCACTGTATTCCTAGACTTTGCAAAGGCTTTCGATACAGTACATCATCTATAGCTCTTGGATGTCCTAAATATCTACGGGGTGAGGGGGACCGTGTTGGATATCTTTAAAGACTACCTGACAGACAGACAGCAGGTGGTGAAAAAAGGGAAATCCCAAACCGTTGAGATTGGCATCCCTTCTTTTAAACATCTTGACATCATTAACGTAGACTCCCCATTGCTTGAAGTAGACTCAACAAAATATCTTGGAGTTATAACTTACACATCTCGGTTTTTGTTCACAGAAATCAAAAATTTAGATGTTATGTAATAAAGTTAATAGGCATTTAATAATTCCAAATATCCAAATAGTAACACCAATATAAACACTAAATCGATCTGTTATCTTGCTCCAAAAATATATAATATGATTCCAAAAGAAGTGAAAAATAATATTAAAAGATTTAGCAACCTTTGTAGAACATTCATTTCCACTAGTTATGATAGGTTTCATATTTTATTCTAGTTGCCCTTTTGTTTCATGGTTGGAGTGTTTGGATTGTGAAATTTTGTCACCTTGCACATACAGGGGTTTAGTCCCCTAGGTGCATTAATTAAATAAGTATAATGCAAACATCCTTTTTTGTGTATTAAATCATTCCTACTTCTGAATTTGTATCTGATGGTATGTAATATATTATAATATTTATTATTATATCAGACCAGACGATGTTATTAAAATCACAAAAACACAGATGAGTTAATGTAAAATTGACAGTAAAACCATATGCCATTAGCACATAACATAACATATAGTGTTAAAATAACTCTAAAATAACATCCAACAAATGAACAAATAAGCAAAAATGTTATCAGAAAAACCAGTGTTAGTTACCCCAAGATGATTCAAGCTACGGTGAAACTTATCGCGGCCAATACTAGCATTACTACTGGCCCTACTGACTTGCAAAGGAGCCCTAAGGGCCCTCCACCGTTTCCCAGTCAAGTCTTCTTGACATATTCCAGTTCTGTGATAAATCAGCCTGTCGTCGGCTCCTACTGCAAAAACTTGATCTGTTGACGTAACTGATACTTGCAGCATTCTGCCCACCATTTCTATCCAGCCAGAACCTGCTGCTAGTTCTTCACTGACGCCCGCACCTTCAGCTTTAATACCTTTCCTTAAATAATAATCAACCATTATATGGGTATAACAATGAATGTTAATAAATTACCTAAACCAAATTTGTTTATCCTGAGTCACAGCCCAAACGCTATAACTGCCCACTGAAAGTTGTATAATACGTAAATTATCTCCAGGGCTTCTGACTTCCAGCCAAGAGACTCCTTGTAAATTATCTCTAGTAACTCCTAATCTTACCAAAGCTCTACCGTCTAGTAAAGCGGCCCAAACAAGACCAGTTGGGCCCACACTTAATTGGCTAACCTCACAACCAGGTGGTACTTGTATGTGGTTCCAACGAGCACCTTCTGGAGATTTTGTACTTACATTTGTCCTAAACATTACCTAAGAAAGAAGTCAAATAGTTGAAAACTTAAAAATACAATACAATGGAATCCAGGATAAAATTTAAAAGGGCATGTTAGGACTAGGAAAATTGGTTTCTAGTGCAAATCAAAAATATGTTAAGCCTTTATAAATTTTCTATTTCTTTTATCCAGGATAAAAGGACCCCGCACACCTCTTATGGGTTTTTGGTTTTCTGTCAAACTCAATGAAATTTTGATATGTGTTAGACCTTGACTTCCTGATAAAAAATTCTCATGGGCCCGAACCAATCCTATGATTAGTTTTTGAGATACAGGTACTTTTATGTCCAAGAAACGTATACATTTTATATGTATTTACATCTACCTGTCACCTAATAATAGGTCTGTTTCTGCAAAAATCACAAACTTGTCAGAGCGAATTTGATTGGTCGAAAACAGTCAGAAACAGTCAGAAAACTAGTTACAACCAATGAAATTCACTCTGACAGACCTAATAATAGGTGACAGGTAGATGTGAATGCATATAAAATGTGTACATTTCTTGAACATTAAACCACCTGTATTTCGGAAACTAATCATAGTATCGGGTTGGGCCCATGAGAACTTTTTATCAGTAAGTCAAGATATACCACATATCAAAATTTCATTGAGTTTGACAGAAAACCAAAAACCCATAAGATGTGTGCGGGGTCCTTTAAAAGGGCATGTTAGGACTAGGAAAATTGTTTTCTAGTGCAAATCAAAAATATTTTAAGCCTTTATAAATGTTCTATTTCTTTTTTTTTTTTTAATAATTACTAACTCTATTATGTGAAGTCACAGCCCATACGAGCATAGTGCCAGGCTCTGATCCAGCTACAGATTGACCTCCAATAGAGACATCTATAAAAGGTTCCTAAAAATGTCTTTATAGAAAGTTTGTTGCCAGAATAATCACAAACCTACTTTTGTGGCATCCTTATGTAAAGGTGCTATGGCGCACCACGAATTCATGGCACAATATTTTGCTGTTCTAACCCATAATCTCCTTCTAACACAGCTTTTCCATTGTTTTTGCGAATGAAAATTTGCTGGGAAATCTACTGCATAAGTCCAACCATTGTGGTCCAGAGGTTTACCTTCTAAAGTCAGTTCTAATTGCCAGTCACCTAATTGTTATTATTGATAAATGTTTATACATGTAAACGTATGTGCATTCCCTACCTTCCCATTGCCAGGCCATAGAAGGAAGGCGAATTTTATCAATGGACCTATCCAACGTGCCGTCAATGTTTGAAAAATGGAACCTGTCAGTCGGAAGCATTCTTGAGCTAAAGCCTTCTATAGGAAGCCATCTCTGAAAGGAAATATTCTTAATGACTAAATGATCTCTATAGCAAAAGTAGGTAAGCTTTTTATCCTTTTTTCAAAATTATGGTACAACTACCACCTTTCAAGTTTCAGCAGTCTTATAAAGTGTTCTAGAATAATCCCCCAAATTGGTTTCACAATCAGTTGCGATGAAGGGTTGAATATATCAAAAACTCAATAAAAGTATGGTTTTATCACTTTTCTTGAGATTTTGGGTACCTACCAATAGGTATCATCTTTCAAAATTAATTTAACCGGGTGTTCTAGAAAACTGCTTCAAATTGGTTTTTAAATCAGTAGAGTAGTAGAAAAGAACAAAACAAATTTAATATGTATAGTCTCATGCTCAGGGTTGGCAAGAACAGGGTTTTTGAAAAAACCTACTTCTTAAAATGTGTGCATTTTAGGTTTTTCGTTTGAAAAATCTGTTTATATTATCGGAGATATTATGAAAACAAGTCATTTTTATGTTTTTAATGTAGCAAACTTGGTAACAAAGTAGGTAGTCTTTTACATTTCTCTAAAAGTAAACTTGGAGTCCAGAAGTAGACCTTAATCTTTGATTTTGGGGATCATCTCATTTCCGTTGCACCAAGCTATTAGATTTTTTATGCCTGATTGTGGAACTAGACAATCATCTGAAGATGTTATTTCCATGTATAACTTCAAATCATCTGCGAAAAGGAGAAACTGACTGTTCAAAGTGCAATATTAGATCATTGATGAAAGACAGCAACCACCGGCGTATACAAGGGGGGGGGTAATGGGGGTAATTACCCCCCCCCCCCCCAAGATCGTTGCGATGGACGAAAAATATGTACCCTAAACCTTACAAAGAAATCTATTTTAACTTTTCAGCAACTGGCCCTAACTTGTTTTCTAGTTTGCACAGTGTCCGCATTGCCCGCATGCCATTTATAGCGAATTCTATTCAAAGGGATAGTGCACACTGAGTATATTCGTGTCTTTCTCTTCTAGCTTGCATAAAAAAAAAAAATTGTATCAATTCTACCAATAGAATTCGCTATAATTAAAAAGTTTTAGGGCAATCCCATAGCGAATTCCATTGATAAAATCAGTGCAAAAAAAATGTATTTTTATCTCTTTCTTATACAAGCTGCTAGAATAAGACACGAATACACTCAGTGCGCACTAACCCTTCCAATGGAATTCGCTATGAGAGTTCGGTTTCGTTATTTGTTGGTAGTACAGAATATATTTACCTAACAAGTGCTGAAAAAAAAAATTCCGCACTAGTCTGTCGTTCACTGAAAGACGAGTAGCGGAATTTGGTGGAGCAGCCGAGTGTGGAAAACAGATATTCTGCATGTGTTAGGTACAATACTTTTTCTACAGAGGTGGAAATAAGTACATACCTACATAATTTGTAGTAAGTTATTGATTTTTTTTTGACAGCCGTGCGGAAAAGATTTTTCCGCACCGATATTTGTGCGGAAAAAATTTCGCCGCACCGTGCAAGAAAATCGATTTTCTGCACTGTTCAATTTTCCCCACTTTCGTAGAAAAGAAATGTTTTGAAGGCTCAAAATAAGCGATTTTGGGCGTGGCACCCGGTAAAAAAATTTTCGCCTCCGACGCGCTGGCTTGGGCTGATTACCCCCCCCCAGACGCATGGGCTGGATACGCCGGTGACAGCAACAGACCTACAACACCCATAAGTTCCAGCTTAGACAGGATAGTATGTTTAACCCTATTGAACACCAGAGATTGAGTGCACCTGACAGCCTCTCTCCAAGGCGCTGGATATACATAGAGTCTATGTAGGTATAGTCTATCGTTTCTCAAATGAGAAAATGCAAAAATTGGGGTCTTCTCAAATTATCGTATTGCCCGTTAAAATTATTATGCTATTATTAGGCAAAATATAGTGAGCGTGCCCGTACATATTGGATGCGAATCCACGTGCGAACAATGCATCTTATTGGTTGTTTTATACAGTCAACGTTGAATCCAGGAATATCTTATTGGTTAGATTTTTTAGCGGCGTCTTTGGCGGCATATTTCTTTGAAGCGGCTGCCGCTTGCGAATCAGTTTCGTCTGGAAAGACAGTGCAGTAGATAGTTTTTATAAATTTGATTCCTATTTGAGTTGTATCGTGCCTCATGTTTTATTTTATATAAAACTGTTTTAATAAATTTCTCTTACTCCGCCCGTGCTTTATAAAGAAAACGCCGACGGAAAAAGGAATATTATTTTTTTTACTGTCTCATTTGACTATTGATAGACTATACACCAGTAGATTAAATTCAGTGTTCTTAGCGGCTTCAAAGCCAAGCTGTCTTGAATTAACATGAGGACTCAGTACAGGGGTTAAATATTTAGTTAATTATGTTCAAGTACTTTGGGAATAGCACTCAGAATACTAATTGGCCAATAGTTTATTATCAGATCTTTTTGCTCTGATTTGTGATTGAGCAGTCATGCTTGTATACCATCTGGGCGTCCCTTATTCAATGATTATTGTCACCATGTTATGGTTTTGTCTTGGATTTTGCTTTTCATCATTTATGTGATTTACCACAACTCCAGATAACAGGTAGACACAGTATTTGCAAAAGATACCACTATCCTCTGGAATGATTCAAATGTTGGTAGAATGGGGGGCAATATGAGGGCAGAACTGCTTAAAATAAAAGGCTGTTGTGATGTGATACCAATTCTTTGACATTCATTAACAAAGACCAAAATCCTCAATTTTAAATGGGTTACTGAAGATATTTACTTGAAAAATCAACCCATAACTATGCCAATAAATTCTTAGGTCTGTCAAAGGAAAGGTCTCTCAAGTTTAAAGGCCATACTGCAACTATAAGACAAAATTTTGTCTGGTTGCTAGGACCTGGGAGTTATTGCTAATAACCAGAATTTCTCCATTGCCAAATGTGCATACTTTGGGATTATTGAGTCCTATCTTTGATACGGGATTTGCTTCTGTGTTCTGCTTCTGAATATCTATTTAATTCAGTATACCTACTACAGAAAAGGGCTATTAGGTAATTGTGTAGAGCCAAGCTTCCTGATTCGTGTCGTCCTCTATTTTAAGCCACGCGGTATGCTATTTGTGTTGTCTTTCCATTCTCGAAACAGTCTGTTTAGTCTTTAGACAGTGTAAGTGTGAATTGGAGCTAAGTAGTCAATACAATACGCGCCAAAATCACGTGGTGATGTTTTCTATCCCCCACCGAGGATTTATCTATGGATACAACGTTTTACCTTGCGTTTTACGAAAGGTTTTGTCCAGTTTTATACGTAAGTATTTTATTAGCTTTGTTAATGAGATGTTGTGGTCAAAATTACGGTCAAGGAACTGGGTCCATCAAATGGCAGAACTGTGTACTACTCCCTGATTGAGTCACGTCTCAGATATGGAATTTGCTTTTAGGGCAATTCTAGTCTAGGTCTGCTAAACAGCCTATTTGTTCTGCAAAAACGAGCCGTCAGATATCTTAGTCGAGCAAGGCCAGGCCACGAGATTCATGTAAACCCTTGTTTTTGAGTCATAGAATCCTGACACTGTATATTTTAATTTAATTTTAATTTGTTTATTAACGGACTTGCCATTTAGCTTTTACAATGTATCATAAATAACATTTAATGCACTAAAATTTGAAAAATATATAACATCAAAAATCACTTAACAAAGTTAGACAAACAAAAATTATAATACAACTACAAAAAATAGAATAGGATAACTAATAGATTCACCCAGCCTTTCCAGTAATTTGATACAATTTAAGAATTAACTGTATGTCTCTTGAAACAAGGAAGATCAGTACAGAAAAGATCAGCACTACCACAGTACCACACTTTGAATTTGCCAGCCCACACATTCTGGACATATGACTATTTAACCCATAGTAAGTTCTATGAAAATCTATTGCAAATAAATCATGCTGACGGGTTAATCTTTGGGGTACTCTAATATTAATATTACCTAACAATTCAGGGCTCTCAATCATGCCATTCATAATTTTGAACAAAGTAAGTATATCAAATTGAGTCCTTCTAACTTCCAAAAGTGGTAAATTCAACTTTTCGTACAAATGTTCATAATTTTATTGATATCTTCCATGGGAATTCCCACTTTAAAATGTATAGTTCTCAAAAATCGTCTTTGTACCATCTCCAAAGAATCTACATAAACATTATAATATGGAGACCAGGCTGCAAACCTGCTCAACACACGGAAACATTTAAATTTCAAAATACCGATGGTAATAAAATTAAACACTTACTAAAGACCATAAAAAAACAAAAATCATCTGGTACAGATAATATCTCATCAAAACTCCTACAAAATTTACCAGACAATGCCATTGACGTTCTAGCTTTAAGCATTAATATATATAATACTGCTTTATTGTCAAAAAAATTATAACATAATTTGTAGACAAAGCCTTAAAGTTAAAAATACATATTATATACATCTACATGTATACAAAGTCAAAATAAAATGATATAAAGATAAACAAATATAACATGAACAAATATAAAAATGAACAAATCACCTATAAACTATGATCCAGTGTGTGGAACGCTCAAAATTAAGTCAGAAAAAAGTCATTTACTTTATATAAGGCTCTCTCTGATAAATAGGATTTTAGAGCTATGCGAAATTTAGGAAGAGATGCTATGGACTTGATGACTACTGGCAGATGATTGTGCATTTTTTTTGCGTTGTATAGAATGGAGCTCTTAATTAACTCGGAGGATGGAGTTGGCAGATAAAGATCATGCTCCGCGTTGCTAAGTGGATAGTTATGCAATGGCCTTTCTGAAATACTGGGTAGGTGTTTGCGGATAAGGCAGACTGATTCTAGTATGAAAAGGGACGGAAGTGTTAATATTTTATATTTTTTGAAAAAATCTTGGCAATGAGCTCTATTTTTTAATTTTAGGGAATATCTAATAGCTCTCTTTTGTAATTTAAAAATACGGTCAAATTGAGTCGCACAGCACGAGCC